CAATAGTGTGGCCAGCAGGACTGGGGCAGTGATGGTCGGCACTGGTGAGGCCCCACCTCGAGGGCTGTGTTCAGGTTTGGGCCCCTCACTGCAAGACAGACATTGAGGCGCTGGAGTGTGTCCAGAGAAGGGCAGCAGAGCTGTGAGGGGTCTGGAGGACACGTCTGGGGCCCTGAGGGCTGAGGGCCCTGGGGGTGTTCAGCCTGGAGAAGAGGAGGCTGAGGGGAGACCTTCTCGCTCTCTACAGCTCCCTGACAGGAGGGGGTAGCGAGGGGGGGTCGGTCTCTGCTCCCCAGGAACAGGCGATGGGACAAGAGGGAACGGCCTCAAGTTGTGCCAGGGGAGGTTTAGGATGGAGATCAGGAGAAATTTCTTCCCAGAAAGGGTTGTCCAGCACTGGAAGAGGCTGCCCAGGGCAGTGGTGGAGTCGCCATCCCTGGGGGGATTTAAAGGATGGGCAGATGTGGTGCTGAAGGACACGGGTTAGTGGTGGGCTGGGCAGGGCTGGGGTGACGGGTGGGCTTGATGATCTTAAAGGTCCCTTCCAAGCAAAACAATTCTATGAGTCTGTGATTCAGCACAGAGCCTTTAATCAGTCTGGGTTCCACAGAGAGATATGCCCTGCAACATGCCATTTGCTGGATACGATTCTAATGAGTAGACACCAGCCATTCCATGCAGGTGATTCCTAGCAGTCCTCTCCAAAGCACCCCGGTATGCAACAGCACCTCAATTCAACAATGATCAACACACAGCGTAATATTGTCTTGATGGTGAATAACAGATGACACAAACCTAGGTTCATCTGCTGACATATGACACTAAATGGATGTGTCGTACACTGGGCATCTTCTGGTCTCAGCATCAGTGTACCCACCTCACGCTTCAACTATTCAACCTCTGCATGTAAATTATGAGAAGTTAGAAAAATCTTTGCTGTTACACTTCTTTTAGTGCGCTTTTTTAATCTGTTTGTAAGCTATTTTTTCACACTAAGCATTTGCCGGCCATTTTCTCAGTCTATCTTTTTTTGCAAAACATAATTTTCTTGGCTTGGGGTGGTTTTTTTTTGCACTCCTGCTAAATCAAACTCTGTTTGCATCTTAGCACGGGAATCTGTGACCTCCTTGGGCCATTTTTGGATCAGCTTTTACTTGCAATATTGTTCTCCTCAGTATAATCAGTGAGACTGTGCAGTGTTTCTCATGTGGAAAGTTTTTATAACTATTTTTAAGTTTAGCAACTTTAGCCTTTCCACCCATTCTGATGTTTTGGGAGTCTTTGTCCTTTTAAGTTTTTGACTATTTTACAGCTTTCTGCTGTAATTGCTCACATAACATTATGCAGCAATAGCTCAAGTCTGATTGTTTAAGTGTCTGAGTTGGACATTTCATGAAAAATGACTTCTACAAACATAGCATTGTGCTTGACAGTTCTGTACGGAAGCCATTAAACAGGAGATTAATTCTCCTTTGGGCTCAGTGCAGTTCTTATCTGTGCGAGTGATCCTGTTGACTACAAAAGGACTTTTCATATCCGTGTTGACTGTAGGGCTGGACTCCTGTCTTTGTATTTTGAGACAATTTAAGGCCAGTTCCGCAGCTGCTGCTCATGGCAGGGAGTGGGACAGGTGCCCTGTGCCGAGCGGTCAGGTTCACACAGCTTGTTGCTCATCCCACTCCAGTGAAAACCGAAAAGCCATCCTGTTGGTCCTCTCCATCCCTCCTCCTGCAAAGCACCAAATGTCAGAACATGGTGTGGAATGAAAAAGAATGGAGCAACATTACACGAAATATCTTTTTTCTTTATTTTTCTTAAGTAAGTGCAAGAAATATGAGTTTGCCGCTGCTCCGGTCATTGTTTGGTAGTTTTGCTGTTTGTAATACTTGTTCTGAACTTTGATGAACTAGTGTCTAAATAACAAGGCATTTCTTTACTCAGCCTTACCACTGGAAAAGTCTACAGGTTAGGCATAAAGTATCATTTGTAAGTATCTGCAATTATTTTGCAATTTGAAGTCTCCGATTTTTATATCGACCATCTGACTCACTTGCAGGGATTGTCTTTTTCGTAGGCCAGACGCTGTGTCAAGAGAAGGGCTCAGGAAAGATATGGTACCTAAGAGAAATAGGGAAATCCTGCATTTCCCTGGGGATTCCTGGGACTTCATTTCTTCTGCCAGCAAAGATTTCGTTATAAGCATTCTCCATGCAAGTCCATCGTTATAAAAGGACATTGTGTTTTGATTATTTAGAACCTGGAGTCACAAAGGGCACGTTGTAATTAGATTTACTTTGTTAGGAATTGAAAATGTATTGTAGTAGTCAGAATTCCCAGGGGAAGGTTTCTAATAGAATCTCCATTGAATTTATTCATATGTGGAAGGAACAGTCAATATTTGAGGTATGAAATGTCAATAAAAGTAAAAAAGTATTAGCATTCATTATATGTTGCAGTGCACGGCCTTGCCACTTAGAATACTGCAGCTTTGTTTCACAAAGCTTCTATGCGCTTTTGAAAATATAATCTCTAAAGGGAAATAGAATTAGTCTGTTAAAAACAGAGCTCCCTAGTTGTGGAAATGGGTAGTTTAATATAAGATATAATCTAATATATATGTATTTTTAAAACTATCTTATAGAAGTGAAAGGCAAAATACCCATAATGTTTTTCATTACCGTGAATGCAGATGGGAGACTCATCTTCCAACATTCACGCGTGTGGGGATTTGCTGTTGTCCTAGTGGTGGCAGGGGCCACCCAGCTCTCCACTTGCAATTTTGTCTTCTCCACTGGCTTGGATAAAAGACAGCAATATGAGAAGCGTTAAGGCAAAGAAAATATGGCAGAATGTTGTTCTGTTAACTTGATGCCCTCTTTAATGAATGTCTAGCTTACTCATAGATTCCTGTGGTACCTACCAGTCCTGGGTTCCCTGCCAAATCCTAAATCTGTGGCAAAGGATGACAGTCTTGTTTCCCAATCGGTTCTTCAGGGATGGTGCTGGCTGCTTCTGTAGCCGCAGACAACCCCCCAGCACTAAATCGGAACAGAAATGTCCCTGGCTGACGTGATTCTCGCACAAAGCCCACGGCACGCGACCCCGCTCCATGCCGGGGCTGCGATAAGGATGCGCTGCCGGGAAGCTGTCTGGGTCCCGGTACGCTGAGCGTCTCTTCTCTTGCTGATCCGCCAGCAAGAGAAACGCTTCCCTTCTCGCCTCTCACTCCGAAACTCCTAAGGCGAGTGTGTCCTGACTCCGTTGAACTGAACAGTTGGGTTGGACTTCCGTCAGCCTGTGGTCTCCTTCCTGCACAGCGTAGGTCCCTTCATACCCCCTGCTGCTACTGCTCAGAGGAATTAGTGAGCAACATTTAAATCCTGAGAGCTCTCACGGTATTTACTGCGTTAGAAACATGGTCTTCTTGGTAGCGGAGTCAGGGGGAAATCATAGTTTTCAGTACAAAACTTCCTGCTTATAAATTTAAAATGCGCTTTTCATGAACATTCTCTAACACTAACTTTAAATATCCCATTTGTTTTCTATATTATCTGCGGAAAGGGCTGAGTTAATTCAAGTAAATTCCACGTGTTTATTCATGGAATAAATGGAAACATGGGAAACATAGCAAATTATTTGCCTATGAGTTAAATTACCACTGTGAGACAAAGTTTAGGAGTTTTAAGTGCCGCTGTAGAATAGCAGATGTTTAACTCCCAACAGCTGCTCTGTAGCTGTCCTTTCTGTGTTTCTCTAGCCAGCACCTGTGAGACTGACGAATTGAAAAGTTTTGATAAGTCTTAAATGCGAATTACCTCATGTGGAGTACCGGGACTATATTCAATACTTTGGCAGGTTTCCAGAATCTCTTTCTTTTACTGTTAAATGGGTTTATTTAGTAATGAACACAATTCTTTTTTTAAAAAAAGGAGTTTGTGCATGACTGTCTGCCACGCTCTGTGTCTATCTGCTCTCTATCACATTGCCTGTTTCTCATCTAGAGTCCATTTTGGGGTGAATAAAGGTCAATGTTGATTGAATACAGTACCCTTTGTCTGCGCCTTCCATAACTTTGCAGTTGTGGAAGCCAGACCAGCTACATTCATGTGCACACAGGCACACGAAACACGGTCCCAACACCTTCATTATTGCTTGTCCATGTACGTTGCTAATCTCAGTTTTTCAAGCACGGCGTGATGGTTCCTGTCTTTCACACTTTGTTTTACTCATCCTTCAGGTCTCCCGTAATGGCCGGAGGTCTATTTGCTGTTAACCGGGAATGGTTTTGGGAGCTGGGAGGATATGATCCAGGATTAGAAATATGGGGAGGAGAGCAGTATGAAATCTCCTTTAAGGTAAGTCACCAAGTCACCTTAAACGATACTTCTGTATAGTCTTACACCTCTGGATTTTCATTTCTCATATGGTTTGTGATCATAATGCTTTCATTCATACTAGCTTTTGTCTTTTAACTAAAATTAATTTAGTACAGCACTACTTTTTTTTCTTTAGGAATTTCCACTAATTTCACATAGGACTATGCCATAAACATAAGCTCCAGAAGCCACACAAAAATCACACTGAATGCAGTTCCCTCTGAAAGTCTGGTAGCTTACCACCATCAGAGAATGAAGTTCTACCTTCTTCCTTTCGTCAAGTCTTCTCCACTTATGTTCTCTCAGACACTGCATTGACTTCGTGCTCAAGCGTTGAGCTCAGCTCAATAAGCCAAAAGAGAACTAATCCATAAAAAAAAAGAAAATTGTATGATTTTCTGCCCACATCAACAAGTTTAATCATCTCTGGCAGTTGGCTGAAGTCAGCTCAGGGAAATGAGTGGAAATGGCAAGAGGAAGTCATAGGAAGAAGGACCCTTTTCACTAGATCAGCTCAGATGCTATGACCTGTTATCTACTCGCCAAATTTTCAAACTTGGGTGATTTTTTAATTGCATTTGAATAATTGTAATGATGAAATATAGGGAGTTTTCAAGTGCTCAGGTTATGTACAACCAGTCATGGTATATCCTCATATCCCCTGTGTCGCTGTGTGTTCAAAATGGGTACTTGGCTTTGATGTGTTGAGTTGAAAGTCTTGTTACATTCCACATGTAAAATGGGTATTTGCATTAGTTTGATGAGGACTAACATGTCTAATTTTGAAAACTGAGTTTATTATGTTCCAGTATACCCAAAGACATAAGAACTTCACCTCATGGCCTCTAGATGGGAAGATTTTCAATGACTTGATAGAGTTTCATGACATAGATGAACTGAGTCAAGCGTATTTGGATAAAGCTTGGAACCGAAATTAGAATTCACATCTGGCTTCAGGATCTTTCCAACCTACTTCCAAACTCCAACAGTGTAAAGCTCAGTAAATAAATTTAGTATGTCAGCCATGACTAATATCGTACATCTCGCTGCATCTGAGTTTCAAGAGTGATTAAAACAATAGAGCTGAAGCCATTCTTTTGAACAAAACGTATGGCGTGAGCTGACGCTGGACTGCCAGGCTGTCTTTACAGGAGTTATCAAGAACAACAAAATGGTTTCTATTAACTGTGCTACTCTCACATTTCTCCAAATCATTTTTATACCCCAGCAAAATAAACCAGGAAGGCAGGGGCAACCCAATAGCTAGACTGTATTTAGAATGTATTGATTTACATTCTGTCCAGTTAGATTGTTCCAGAGGCAAATTTAAGTAGTCACTAGTAGCTGCCACAACGGTCTCTGACAGGTCACCCAAGATTTTATTATCCTATTTCAAATATTCCTTTTATTCGTTATCACAAAGAATGTACTTCTAATGCTCTCCAGTCTTTGTACAGAAACCATGGTAACAGCACTGGAAATTGAGATACTAGATTGTCCCAGTGTGTTTTGCTCAAGCGATGGGTTTTTTTGGAGGTAGCTGTGTCACATTGGGTCTCATTTCAGTCATATCTCCTGATTCATCTCATTAGTATCTACTGACCTTAGGGTCCCTGTCCTTTCTTATTAGTGTTAAAAGAAGAAAAAAATCCTCTTTAGAAATGGTTGCCAAATAGGAACAACTTGCTGTTGGAAGAATTTAACAGACATAAGTTTTAAAAAGACTGCCGTTTTGTTTGGAATGACAAAAAATGGGAGAAAAATCATGAAGGCGGGAGGGAGAAACAGAAAGGACTGGGTTTTATTCTAACAGAATCACCAATATCAGCTTGGAAAAGGTTTCTGCCTCGATAGTTTCTACTATAGCTATAGTTTCAGTCCTCTTAAAACTTGTTAAATGGGGACAAGTTAGCCAGACAGTTTAATTTACTGGCTTTGTTGATGATGCTGGGAGGGCTGGAGCCCCTCTGCTGGGAGGACAGGCTGAGAGAGTTGGGGGGGTTCAGCCTGGAGAAGAGAAGGCTCCGGGGAGACCTTATAGCAGCACTCCAGTCCCTAAAGGGGCTACAGGAGAGCTGGGGAGGGACCCTGGATCAGGGAGGGGAGCAATGGGATGAGGTGGAATGGTTTGACACTGAAAGAGGGAGATTTAGATGAGATATGAGGAAGAAATTCTTCCCTGTGCGGGTGTGAGTCCCTGGGGCAGGTTGCCCCGAGAAGCTGTGGCTGCCCCATCCCTGGAGGGGTTCAAGGCCAGGTTGGACGGGGCTTGGAGCAACCTGGGCTGGGGGGAGGTGGCCCTGCCCAGGGCAGGGGGGTTGGAACCACATGACCCTTAAGGTCCCTTCCAACCTAAACCGTTCTGTGATTCTATTCATAAAACTTGGGAAGATGGTGGACTTGCCATCTTTCTGTTATTCACAAGTCAATGAAAGAGCCAGACGACCGGCCTGGTTCAGTTTCCTTGGCTGCTTGAGTGGGTCTGAAACTACATCTGACCTTTCCTTAGAGTGTCCACGCCTGTGGCCCATGGGAGTGCCGTAGGATGGGTACCCTGTGTTGAGATGTCTCATGTTAATGGGATTTTGCTTGGCAAATAATTACTTGGAGTATCCTGCCTCAAGAACATGTCTAACCACCAGACATTTAGCCATTCTCATTCCTTTCTTCTTTGAGTCCATTAATTCCTAGTATTCTGCAAAACCATGCCTGGTTTTCATTAAAAAGTTGTAGAAAGCAGCTGGTTTGAAATCTCTCGTAATTGTGGGAAGTTCGTGTTTAGAGGACTGTTTCAGGCTGATCTTTAACCTTAGTGACAGATGCAGTGTTCCTTTTATGTTCTTCAGATATCATCCTGTTTTTAACTTTGAGATTCATTTGTACAAAAGCTGCTATACCGTGGCAAATAAGTAAACAATCCAGCTACTCTAAACAGAGACCACTCTGATGACACAGCCTTCCCCACGTCAGACTGGGGATTCCCATGGCTAATCGGAATACGGTGATGCAGTTATGGGGGGTGCAGGCCAGAGCCAGGGCTGCCCTGTGCACCCTGGAGTGGTGTCCGGTTGTCCTGACCTGGTTGCCCTTCTCCGTGGGCTGGAGGGAGGAGTGTTCACAGGTCGTTTCTCCTTCTCTGCTCAGCAATGCATTTTCATAGTATCCTAGAGTGGTTTAGGTTGGAAGGGACCTTAAAGGTCATCTCGTTCCAACCCCCCCGGCCCTGGGCAGGGCCACCTCCCCCCAGCCCAGGTTGCTCCAAGCCCCGTCCAACCTGGCCTTGAACACCTCCAGGGATGGGGCAGCCACAGCTTCTCGGGGCAACCTGCCCCAGGGGATCACCGCCCGCACAGGAGAGAATTTCATCCTAATGTCTAATCTAAATCTCCCCTCTTCCAGTTTGAAGCTGTTCCCCCCTGTCCAACCACTACGTGTCCTTGTAAAAAGTCCCTCTCCAGCCTTCTTGTAGGTGCCCTTCAGATACTGGAGTGCTGCTATAAGGTCTCCCCTTTTTCACCTTCTCTTCTCCAGGCTGAACCCCCCCAACTCTCCCAGCCTGTCCTCCCAGCAGAGGGGCTCCAGCCCTCCCAGCATCTTCATGGCCTCCTCTGGACCTGCTCCAACAGCTCCATGTCCTTTTTATGTTGGCTGCCCCAGAGCTGGGTCTCTTCAGAGCGGAGGAGAGGGGCAGAATCCCCCCCCTCGCCCTGCCGGCCACGCTGCTGGGGATGCAGCCCAGGATGGGGTTGGCCTTCTGGGCTGCGATTGTGCGTTGCTGTCTCATGTTGAGCACTGAGTTTTAAACCCCACGGATCGACAGATCTCTGTAACCCTTTTGCTGAACATTTCAACAGTAGGTCGGGGCACTGTAGCACCGACAAGCTGTAGTGTGTGCCTCTAATTAGCACCGCTAATGGTTTTGGTGCAAAGGTAAGCTTATGGGTGTGTTAAGGAAGGATTTTGATAAATGTGTGCGTCAAATATCACGTTTATATATCCAAATTCACTGGTGGCAGATGTGGAATCATGTTTAAGAAGCAGTATATATTTGATATTCTCTGGCCTAATTTTATTTGGAGAAGAATTTCTGAGATGCTGGAATGAAACTTCACCCCACAGAAACATTTGCACACCAGGGGGAAAAGATCACTTGCTAATCAATACCCTATTAAGGAAAAGCGTTTTCTCGACCAAAAGCCCCTGCGTTACTGTCCCAGAGGCATCCACAGTCACCTCCACAACTCAAGTTACGGGAGCGTTTGCTACAAAGCAGGTGGGAAGCCGTGAGGGAAAGTGAGCTCAGAGAGTCAGAGAAACGGGATCTGTGGGAAAAGTATGGTGGCTAGATCTGTGCTCGTCAAGGCTCAATAAAATAGTCTGTCTGAAGTCCTCTGACTTAAGGAGTTATCAGCTGCTTCATCGTGGACTTCATCAGCTCCGCTGCCATGCTGTCTGTAACGTGCTGCTGCACCAGGGGCCGGCGGGCGAGCCCGGAGGAGTCACTGCTGTATTGCTTTATGGGTTCAAGACGCTGAGGCAGAGTTCAAGAACTGATTAAAAATGAGATTAGCAGGAGAAGGGGCTGCCTGGGGAGCGGGGCAGCAGCTCCCGACTCGTTGCACGGGGGCAGAAGGTGGGCGGTGTGGACAAAAATAGATGTTTGTGTGTGTCTGGGGGGGGAGGGTGTTCGATGGAAAAAGAAAGGCACTACAGAAAGCGAGTCTGCAGTGAATCTAAATTTACTGCAGTGTAATTCAATAAGTTTCTCCAAAATACAGTGCGCTTTATAATGTTTCTGTGACGTTTGGAATTGTGCCATAGCAGGAAGGGAAACTTCCTCAGAGTTCAGGCATGACTGTTCCAGGTGCTGAGTTGTCAGGAACACAGAGAGACAGGTTTAAAAAAAACCGAAACAACACCTTTATTTCCTCAACTAAAAAACCCCAACATATATCTCTTTTGTTCTTTTCCTGCTTGGAAACACTGCCGCGGAGGGCAGCAGCAAGCGCGGCGCTGGGTGTCACACTGGCGAACTGCTGGTCCCAAATCAGAGCACTCGCACGCACCGTCAAGGCGGGGAGGCAGCCACAGCCCGGGTCTCAAACTATGACCTCTTCATTCAGTAGCTCCTTCTATTAGGTTTTACATAAGAAATAACATGCAGCATTTTCATTTTTTGGCAGCGTAACCTCAGGATCAATTTTTTTAATTAAAAAGATGTATGGTATCTCACTAACAATGCTTGGGCGTGGGCCAGACTGGTGAAAACTGGCAACGCCCTGGGCCTGACCGCATTGATAGCGTCTCCTCTCGATAACCAGGGAAGCCACTATTTAGGAAATCCTAAATTTAAACCTGTTAGAAAGGCACAGTTTATGTAGTAATCTCCAAAATACAGAGCAGTGAGAGGTACTCATTCCCTGTGTTTGCGGAAGATCCTTTCCACGGGACGTTCCTTAGGCCTCATAAATCACACCTTAACAAAGATGCCAATGGTGCTGCCCCAGCCGGTCACCTGTAGCTACACTTGCTTTATCCTTATCCGTGCCAACACGTCTTCCAGATTCTCTTCATCCCTGTTTTCCAACGCACACCTCCAAGTTCATTAATGCCTTTCTTTATTGTCGTTACCCTCATCACTATTAATTCCCTCCGGTGCTGGCAATCTTGGTGGGAGATAGGGCGTGGGGGAGTGTTACCACTCGTCAATGCAGTCGGAACCTACATGAAGAACTGACAAACATGGAATATTGCCACTTTTCACAATATTTTAGAGGTGCCGGTGAGTATTGTTGAAATATCGACAGTCATCAGTTCCCAGTTTCCACGGTGCGGTTTTAATACCCCTGACAGGAATTCCCACTGCACCACAAGCGAATGGTTTTGCTGTTTGTGAACCCATTGACTGCAGATTTACAGCCAGTGATCCAATTTTTCAATTTTTTCTTGCATTTGGCTGAACATTCCCACTGCATGGAAAAGTTCACAGGAAAGTATTCTTCTTTCTGCTTTTCTACAACTGCGAAGTCTGTTCTTTTGGCTTATATTTCAGGAAGAGTGACTGAAAAACTCCATAAAGTTTTTATAGTCTTATTTTCTACAACTTTTTCAGCCCTGTTGTGGTAATACATTTCTCCTGTTTGTAGTTTCTGCTTCTTGCACAGTGCTCAGCGCACCAAGCTGACGGCTTTGCATGGCATCCTTTATACTCCTCTTCCACCAGTTTACTGTTTGTTTGCTTTTTCCATCCATTTCTGTCTCTCTCACTGTTGTCTGTCTTGTTACTGACTCTCAGCAGCAGTGTATTTCTCAATTAGTTTTGAAGCCTGATCCAAAATTCATTCAGTCCCCCCTCAGTCTTCTACATAATTTGCTGGCTGTTTATGTTCCCGCTCCACAGCAACGCATCCTCCACTGCTCAAAAATCACGAGTCTCTTACTGCGGTAATTACGATGACAGTGCAGCATATGGATTGGAGTCTCGTTCTCGCGTGCACAGTATTTACATTTTCCAGATAGTCCCCGGGCTGGATCACTCGTAAACTAGGCAGGGGATAAAAAAACCACAAGAGCAAGCAGAATTTGGTTTTAAAGACAAAGAAGTGATGTGAAAAGAGGGTGATTCATCCAAGAGCCAAAAAATGCATCTGTGACATCTAAGCTCCGGTCAGGAGCAAAGCCACATAACCGCAGCTTAATCTCTTTTAAAGCCTGCGTTAATGCTTGCCGTTTGCTTGCCGCCATCCCTATGAAGTGTTTTGCAACACTCAGTTGGAAGGAGCTATATAAAGATAAATTGTGATGTAGTACATAGTTGACACATAAACCACTCTTCTTTTGCTCTTTCAAGCTGAAATTGCATTGTTTTGGGGTTGTCTTTGTTTTTTATACCTCAGCTGCAGAGCAGATTCATTGCTTTTGTAGGAAGGAGACATTAGTGCTGTCGAGAGCTTCATTGCTCGCTCCTTAGGTAAGCAGAGAGGCATCGGCGCTGAGATACGGTTTCGCCAGTGTGCCACGCCACCGGGATTCCTTTCATGATACACGGGAGGTCCGTAATATTTAACATAGAAGTCATTCTCCAATTTCTCGCATTTAGCGCAGGTGACATAAAAATGCACATGGTAAAGACAAAGTTGCCAGAAAATATATTTTCCTTCCCAGGAAAATATAAAAAATGCTTTTAAAATCATTCTGAAGCTAAAAGGTAAACAGGAACAGCTGCTGACTGTCCTTCAAGGCAGCCCAGGATTCATTTCAATTACCCCGCAGAGCACACCTCAGGTGCGGCGCCGCATTTTCAAGTTTTATATCTATCAAATATAAGCCTAACACAAACTGTTATTTCCTCCCCCTTGTTATTGCCTCGGCATATCTGACAGTTCTTTTCTAATTCCTTTTCTCTTTTTCTTTTCTTATTTTTTTTACGGATATGCTACTGCTTGGGAGGAAATGCAATATATGTCGACTTCAGTTGTTATTGTCTGAGTTAAAGTAATACTGCCCTCTCTCTATATACATATATCTGCTTTCTTGTCTATTAAATTTGTTCTGTGGCTGACCTTCGTCTGAGTCAAACTGCTGTGCTGTCCACTCTTCAAAGGCTAAGAAACCGTGATTAATCACTGTAATATCTCGTCTGTCCTTTGAAATAACACTTTAATTTAAAAAACAAGAGCAAATAGGAAATACAGGTCTGCACTTTCATTGGTGCACTGAGTTGTTTGAAGGCAGCCACAGAGAGGAGGTTCCTGCTAAAAAAGGTGCAAGTGATGTAACATCCAAACGAAGTATCGGTAGAAAGGTGAATAACAAATGTTTTTAACTGTGGCATTACCCAACTTATTTTAACCCAAGCCTTCGCTCTCAACCCCCTGTTTCCTCCATCCTCAGCATGAGTAGCGCGGTCAGCCTCGGGGGCTGAATTCCTCGTGCCACCTTCAGCAAGTGCTTTGAGTCCCACTCGAGCGCTGCGTTATCCCATGTTGAGATGTTTAGCATCTGCATGTTCACGTTACTAAAATTGAGTCCCAAGCTCACAGCCGCACTGCCAGGACCGGGCAGATCTTCCTGCTGTAACACAAACAGGAAAGCAGAGCCAGAGAGGCCAAACTCTTACCCATTTTCACTGTTGTTTTAAACAAATGGAATTAATCATTTCATTTTCCTGTGATTTCCAAAAGCCGGTAGCTACAGCCAGCCGGTGGGCAGGGCAAAAGAGACGGAATGAGAAATGTATGGTAAAAAAGTGTAGAGGTGCACATTGCTCTCTGCAGGCTGCGTGCAGAACGTCCAGTATTTGTGATCACATCATATTTTCCAATATCTTTTTTTAAGGGTCTGATTACCATTGTTTTAATTCACAGCCTATCAACTTTTGGCTTAATTCCTTTCTGTATGGAAGTTGTTGGTGAAACTTTCATTTTTTTATATTCTGCTCTGCTTAAGATCAGTCACAAACTTATTTCATACCATTTTGCTTCTGAGTGCGTCAAATAACAGATAAAATTACTTCATATGCATAATGCAGGGACTTAAGTTCTCATCCAGATTCATGGAGATGGTTCATGAAGCATCTTCATGTATGTCCACCTAAAGCGACATGGAAAGGACAAGCCCTCTCTCTTTCTCAGCTTTGGTGTGATTTCCTTTTAAATGGGGCGAGAGGGGGTTGGGTTGTTTGTTTTCACAGCATCCCAGACTGGTGGGGGCTGGAAGGCCACATCTGCTTGGGGATGTTGTGGGGGGGTGAGTTTGGTGGTGTTTTTCATTTCCCTGATTTGCAAATTGCTTTATTGGAACTCAGGAAGTTATGAGTGTTGTCAGTATGCGATGTAAGTCATCTAATAGTCACTTTGGAGTTTGGTGGCTGGCATTTCTACGCCAGAGCACAGAAGACGATGCCCATAGGTGATCCTGGCACGGTTGCCATAGTTCCTCTGACCTGGCACACAACCTTCCTCTCACGGACACTTGGTGAATCCAGGTCACGCTATGTGAAGAACTGTGAAGGATTCCTCACTTGCTGCCTGGCAGGATACAGCTTCATGTTTAGAGCCATGAAGTTCTTGCAGCTCCCATCAATGTTGACTGCGTTTTGGTTGCTCAGACTCCAGATGTACTCCAGATGGTTCCACCTGTTTTGCTATTAAAGCATTAATGCTGAGATGTAGCAGCATGATCTTCCTTCTCTGCCTACATAAATTTGATCAGAAGAAAGTTGATTTTTGTTCCTTTGTCTTTAAAAAATGAAGAGCATCTTAGTATTTGAACTCTGTATTCATTCTTCAAAACAAAATATAAGCGAGGTGTTACAGAAAAAAATGTACTGCTGGTCGATGGTTTGCTTTGCTCATGTAGCCGTCTTCTTAAGTTTTGGTCCTGTACATCTCAAACAACAGACACAATAATATCTCGGTTCTGTTGCAGGAGGACCGTTGGTAGATATTCTGAATATGGTTTCTGATTTTATTTTGAGCATACTCCGCTTTTGCAGGGTGGGAGCCTGCCCTGGTGCTACCCCCAGCTGTCCGCGTCCGGAGAGGGCCACCACTGGGGCTGGGCAGGGTCAGTGCAGAACCATGTGTCGTTTTTATGTGCCCATGACATAAAATGCCTTTTTTGCCCCATTTGTCTCCAGGAATAATTCTTTCATTTGCTTTCTGTCTCCTTCCCAGGTGTGGATGTGCGGAGGTGGCATGTTTGACGTTCCATGCTCTCGAGTTGGGCACATCTATAGGAAATACGTCCCCTATAAAGTCCCTTCTGGAACCAGCCTAGCACGGGTGAGTAACTGGGTCTTGCTGGTTTTCATTTTTGCTCGTCATCAGTCTCTTCGTTCCCTGCGAACTAGTTTCCAGTAAACCATTAAAATGGAAAATAAATGTTTCTTTATTCTTCTGAAATGAGATGTGCGGTTGCTGCAGCTACGCTGCCTTCCAGAGATAAGATTGCCAAGAGTAAAATGGAAGCTCAGAACTACAGGGTCGGACATCTCGGCATGGGAGCGCGTTTCATGCTCATTCAAAAGGACCCAGGAACGACCTGAGGCTTACGGTTCTCCCATCCCACGGGGTTGTCAGTCAGAGTTTTTACAAGTAGGACCAATTTGCATGCACGTTTTCTTATCAGTCAGCAGAACAGGCAGAATGTGGCTAAAGGAATGTTTTCTGAGGCAAAAGAACAGAGTAACAATGATTTGAGCGACTGTCTAATTACTGTGTAAAACCTGGTGGTGGAATAGAGCCAGCTTGGAGCAGCGTGAGTGAGAAATTACAAGACCTCTAGACATTTCTCAAAGACTACTGAACACATACATATCCAGGAGGGGCTTTTTGCTCAAGAGAAAATGTTCTGTAACTTTCTGGAGATGTCGAAAGATGGGAGACAAAGGGCACAGATGTGGCTTCCAGGCAGATACTAGTATTTATTCATGCTTGAGTTTAATCTTTTCTGGTTTAGAGGGTTATTTTTTTTTAATAAAATGGCATTAATATTGAAGTCTGCATATTGCCACAGGGTAATATTTTATGAATCATATTTTTTCTTAATAATGAAAATGTGCTATGAATACAAGAATAAATTTCTTGCTTTAAGGGGGAGATATTCTTGGTTTCAGCACCGTGTGACACGGCTTGCTGTAGTGACTGCAGCAGAGGAAAGAGCTCGTCCGTGCTTAAAAGAGCATCCACGCAGGCAGTGAGACACATGATAGGTTAATGGGATTAGTAGTGGTGTTGGTGGAGGTGACAAGAAGCGTAGCGGCTAAACTGTGAGATGGAGATCTTCCCCCAGTGTATCTCTGTGTAGTCTCAGAGTTTCCCCATCCAGATTTTTGCACTGGCTGAAGTAAACTGCTTCGTTTGTGGTATCCCCTGCAAAAAACCCACACAGCTCGAAATAAGAAATCCAAACCTCAGCTTCTGTTTTTCTCTACTACAGCACAACGTATGTCATTAGAGAATCTGCTGTCTCACACATTACCTGCAGGAGCATAACACAACCATTTCTGGCTGGACCATTAGCATCTGGTACAGTTCAACACTCAACTAGCTCATGCAGGCACTGGGAGTACTTTGAGCGATCAGGTAGCCACAGCCTGCAGCCTCCCTATGCTATTTAGTCTAGTGTGAATTCAATAAATCACTTGTGAAAAATTACCTAAACTGATTGCTAGTCATAAAAATGAAATCTCTGCCCACGCGCAGACTGCCTGCCCTGTATCTTGTGTAAAAAAAAGATCGAGTGTGCTGATCAGGTGGGTCTTACCCTTCCCGTTCCGATGATGGATAGTTTCTTCTGTGTTGTGGGGGTCCAAAACACAATGCTTAGGTAAATTTCTGACATATCACTGAAAGACAATTTGAATTCTCAGGTTCCCATCTTCTCTCCAGTACGATATTCTAAAGCAAAACATTGCCATTGGGACACATCGCGTCAAGGCTGCCAAGAGCATAAGATCTTCTGTACATTTTAGTGTTTGGCGCTATCTCAATAACTAGCCAGGGAAGAGAGCTTGGTCCCTGGCTCATCAGATTGTGTGTATTTTTAAGCCTAAAAATATTCTCTTTCTCTCATTCAAACCAGAAAAGGAAAAGCAAGGACATAGTCACCTTCAGTGCGTCAGTGCCTGTGATACAGACCACTTGTGGTTCCAAATAAACTGCCCCAAATACAGCTGTTAGCCCAAACAGTGTGCACAGAGGTGGCCTGGGTAATTCAGCTATCTTTGCATTATCCTCCAATTATTGTATTATATCCTCCAAAGATTATAGTCTACCCCTTGTGAGTATTTTATCTAAAACTTCTCTCTAGTTCAAGAATATAATGAATAACACACTCAAGAATATCTGGAAGTATTATCCCTGCTACCAAAAGCAATACTTTTCACCACTAAGTAGTTTCCGCAAAGATTTTTACTAAATTCTTTTCCATCTTCTGCCATGTAAAGGAGGATGCTGGAGATGCAGTTCTCAAAGGAGTGAGCGCTAGGAAGCCCAGCTGTGATTGTATAAATGATTGCAAGAGCCCCTTCATTAATCAAGGGAGAATTTCCCCTCGTGCAGATACTGCGTTAAAGAACAGCAGATTTTCCCATCCCATCCCACAGCAGCAGCAGGATGGACATGGAGACAGGAGGTAGGAAGGGGGTGGAACTTCTAGGCAAATTCTGGCATAGCCCAAGGCGTGCCGTGGGTTTCCTTTCACGCTGTTTCAGCTTATGTTTGCCCTTGACAAATAATGCTTAAAGTGAGCTTTTTACCTTCCTTTGGCATTCTATCTCTCTCTATATTTCAGCAGCAAGTTTCCACACACCGTTTCAGCTAGCTACGTAATGCCTGACCAGTCTAGATATCCTCTTAAAGAGCTGTGACCTGGCGTGAGGGTCACATACGCTTTATTAAATGAGAGACTTGGCAAAGCCGTTGTTCTGCTTCCCCGTCGCTAAATAACCATTAGTTACCACACACAGCAGTATGTATCGTGACATCAATTTTCGATGTACTTCTTAGCATGTTTCTTACCTTCTTATCTGCCCCTCAAGACCTGCAAGGCCCGCGCGTATTTTTTGCTGACATGTAGCCAACAAACGGAAAAGCTTCCACATGGGAAACGCTCTGTTGGTGGTACAGAACAAAAGTAAAGCAAGCTGTAAACACGCGCAGCAGATTTACAAAACAGATTGTGACAGCCAAATGCAGATAAAAAAGCTGAATATTTTTGTCTGGAGAGGTCTTAAGATGTTGCTGCTTGCCAAATGCACTCAGTGTCTGATTTACAGGTAATTGCACATAAGGCGAGAGTAATGGGAATGCAGATGTCAACGCTGATTCCACATTATAATGTGGAAGCACCACGTCATTGTTCATTCATTCCAAACCTGTCAACCTCTGCCCAAAACTGCGGTGACTAATAACCCATTTGGCCAGTTGGTTTTAGGTAAAGCATATAGAGAGTCAACCCCAAAATCTTAAACTGCTATGCAAGATGTTGCCCTATTAAAAACTTCTGAATTGTTTTCCTGGGTTATTTTAGCTGCTTTGCAGTATTCTTGACTGTTGCTTCATTTTTAACAATTCTAGCTAAGCCATCTTCTTTTAGCAAGTTACCTGTGAAATTAGACTGTAAAATATTATTAGCGATTTCTTGTAGGTGTATCCCTAATTTTTATTTTAGTTGCCTATTTGGGAGGAACTTTTTTTCTATTCGTGCTTCTGTAGAAGCCATAAGAAATTTATCAAGGAAAGCTCCGTGCTCCGCGGGATACACAGAGATGAACTCAGAATTTCAAAATACATCTACAGACGGTTTTTTCGTTTGCAGGTATTTTACACGGCACTTCAGCGTTAACCGCAGAACACGAGCGCGTCGGGGCTTTCCGAAGGGAAGGGCAGTCCCACTGGCGTTGCGGCGCGGGTGCTCGCCCAGCGGCGTGGTGAATACTGCCCCAGCAGCTGAGCTCCTCTCTGCCGGCCGGGACGGGGGGTCCCGGGGCACGGCCACCCCCCGAGGAGCAGGCACGAGCCAGGGGACATTTGCCCCATTGCGCGGTGTGGCTGAACGGGGACTGGCGCGAGGCCGGGGTCGGGAATGCAGCCGAGAAAGGGGGGTTCAGACCCCCACCCGCACCGCCTGCTCAGCCTTTTCGTGCGGCTTCAAAAGGGATCTTTACAGAGAATTCCTGTCGCTGTACCATCTGGTGCTGTGACCACGTGTGCATTTTTGACAGAGCTTCCTTTCACATTATGGCTTGTTGGTTTTTTTTCCCCAGCTGCAAACAATGTTTGGGGTTTTCTTAAAGCAGCCCATGAACGTGTTTTTTTTCCAGTTTCCAGGCAAGTTAAAGGACCAAGGAGGGTCGGTTAGGGAATGGCTGTGTTTCTCGTGACCGGAGTGCAGAGGGACAGATGCGGCGTGGTGCTGCTGCGGGAGCACCGCGGGCACTTCTGCAATCACCTCCGCAGCACAAAAGACTGTCGCACAAAGTCGGTTAGGG